CTAACTCCTCAATCTGAAATGATACAAATACAATCCCAGGTGATATCATGTAGTCGTAGATTTCTTAGGATAAAAGCCAAAGACTATGTATCTTCTCATTCAACAAGGGCAAAGGCAACACGAAGAGTGTTGCGATTACCATCTTGAATAACTGCCAATAATAAAACTCACTTGTATTTCCCATACAAGAATGTACCATCAATTTGGACAACGAGTTTACATTATTTGACTGTATTAATGCATTGTGGGCAAGTCTACAAAATACGATGAAATTTACAGCAATATCGAAGAACTCGATCATTGTGGTAGGCATGGCGAGTTTCGAACTCAACTACTATCCCAGGATTAACTCATTGAATCAGGTTAAACCAACTGGGTAGTTAGTTGTAAGATGAATCCTATTCATCGTGTAGTTTTATAATGACACTCTGTTTTGCCTTCCACGTTTTTTAGGAGATATTGTACCCCTATTGAGATCGTATTACAGAAATCATCATTGCAATAGGTACGTGGGAGCTTGCTTTGACCAAGGGCATGATGGCTTGGAAAATGTTGTTGGAGTCCAAATTTTGATGGTCCTGGTTGATCCCTTATGCACAACATGTATGAGGGTCGTTGTATTTTGTTAGTTCCCATCTGTCAGTCTTCTTTCTCTTTGAAACACGAACCATCCAGTTGCATCTGTTATTGCGTTGGAAACAATAACAGACATACTTTTCAGTGGTTTGAATGCTATTGCGATGCCTAATTATGTTTGAACCATGCTTCCGGATCTTCATCATCTATCTCTGTGTTCCCAAACTCATTCAGTTTTATGTGTTCGGTAGTCAAACTCGAAGCATCATCATCAATATCATTAAAGTCTACAAACAAATCCACATGAGATACAGAAAGAGAGTAGTATGTCTCAATCATTTCACAAAGGTCAACATCATCGCTTAGAAGAAACCTCTTAAATGAAACATGCAACCTATAATATAGCAAAGAGATTCTTCTTTTCCTCCCGAGTTTAACCTTTCTTTCTATTTTACGCTTCAACTCCTCAAGTGAATTTTTGTTGTTGAAAGACATACTTAAATTTTTTTGTTGAAAGAAATACTTAAATTTTTGCAATAAAAAAATTTGTCTGAATAGTAGCCATTCTATCTAAACAACTCAAGCTTTTGCCTGAATAGATTAAAATTAGCTTTCACCTCGCACATATATATAGCCTTACAAAGTGTGTCCTATAAAACGAGTCTACCCAATTTATTGTATCCTCTTTGTCCTTTTTCGTAAAAAAAACATTAAACATCATTAAAAAACATACTTTATATAAATACAAAATAACGAATAAAGAAACATAACAAGATGAAAAAAAACCAAATAAGCGATAAAAACATAAAAATAAATAATAAATACATAAATACATAAAAAGAAACATAACAATTTGATACAAAATACATAAAAAAAACAAAATAATATTCAAATACATAATAAATAAATAATTAATAAATACATTACAATTTTATTATATCTATCGATATCTCCTAGAATGTTTTCTGTAAGGTAGTGGTCGTCTAGTTTGAGAAGGGTTTCTTCTTATCTATTGTTGTTGCTCCTCTTCATTCTCCTCCTCGTCATCATCCTTGTTGTCTTCATCATTATCATCAGTCTCAACAATATTATCTCAGTAAGGAGTGAATGCTGATGTATCAACTCGGTAGAATAAGGATCCTAGAGGTGTTTGACAGACTATCCCACCACTCCTGCAAAAAATGTGAAAAACTGGACATCGTTGTATGTGATGCATAGTACGGGTATAGTGTTTCTGGTGGAGGACCACCCGTAAGATAACTCGCATAGGAACTGAATGTCGGATTCGTAAGCATAGATGAAAAATACTCGCCAGGGGTGTCATAAAACTAGGGATGGAAAAAAACCCGAACCCGACGAGAAAAATCGAAAACCGAATTAAACGGGGATGGGGAAAAACCGTTTATGCTAAACGAGAATGGGGACAGATTTAGTAATCCCAGCCCCAATTACCCAGCCCGATAAATATTAAAAATAATTATTATATATATATATATATAATATTAATAAATTTAATTGAAATTAAAAAATATATATAGTATTTATAAATTTAATTTAAATATATATACCCGACCCGATACCCGTTTAAATAACCATTTATACTAAACGGGGATACCCGTTTCCCCGCGGTTTTTAAGGGAGAATGGGTACGAGTTTTTTAAACGGGGACGGGGATGGGGGGACCAATACCCTGCCCGAACCCGGCCCGTTGCCATCCCTACATAAAACTCTGTGGCCTCTGTACGTAGCTATACGGTTATGCCAAATGAACCGACGGATGTGGAATATCAACTGGTGAATATGGCATATGAACCGACAGTGAGGGCATCTTCTTTTTATCCAATAGTGGGGGGACGATGATGTTGCAATGTCAAACATCTTGGTCGTCCATAATGAATTGACCCCCTCGTGTTTCCTCCGAAAGTAAGAATGACTTTCTGTTTACATTGAATCATTCTATATAGCCAAGTGAAACCATGCAACCAGTTTCTAATATATATTATCGATAGGGCAAGCGTTGATGACAGATCTTCCATATCACCAACCAATCTCTGTGTTCCACCAACCAATTCACCTCTTTCTTGCCCAGCTTATCAACATTATGCATGTTTTCCATGTTTCTTTGTGCTTCGGGAATATATTGTGTAAAACCAAATTTATGAAGCACACGATTAATCGGATGCCACTCAACAATAACATAACAAATAAAAGCAACAATCGTTATCCATACATCCAATAGGCCACTCATGTTAGGTGGGATGCAAACCCTCAATTCATCATTCAAATACGACAACCATATGAACTAAAACAAAAAATAAAGATTTCTTATCAAAATTAAAATGAGATTCAAACTATATTAATACAATTAAATCAAAAATGATAATAAAAAACATTCATCTCCACCAACTTTCTGGTCAATCAATAATTGGATATCTTCTAATTCTTGTGGGATATCACAATGATTTTTCATTTTATTTGACCACCTAATTAATATAAAAAATATATATGTCATTCTATAATAATAAAGAAATATTATTTAAAAATAAATTTATTCTTGATACTTTGACAGTAATGGAAAGGCATATGGGTCATTCATGATCGGGCACAAAAAAGGCATGTGGTACCATGCCCACGATTGAAAAAAGCATGAGATACCCGCCAATAACAGTCTTACTATATTTTTTGACCAACACATTTCTCTAAATAAAAATGCCAACACCGTAGACCATTAACTCAATGTGTCAGCTTCTTCAAAATCAATCAGATACCACAACCACATACAATGCACCTGATTCCAAGATTTGTTGGGCATCAATATCCCTCCAATGAGTTGTAGAATATATGCCCAACAAAATGCTTTTGTGTCGTCCTCCGAACAATTTTCGGACAACTCTTTAAATTCACTTTTTAGTCACGATAATCTTATTTGATCACTGTTGAAACTGGGCGACGTCTTCCCAAGATACTCCATGCATAGACCCCCCCAATCATCATCTGCCACACCACATATGACAGTTCCATCTACCGGTAGCCCGAGTTGCATTGAAATATCCTCCAGTGTAATCGTGCACTCCCACATGATAGATGGAACATGTGAGTGTCTGGCCTCCATCTCTCAATGAGTGTAGAAATCAAGGCGGGTTCAAGTTTACAACCTCATTCAACTTTTGCTAAGTAATTGAATCCAACCATTGACAAATATGGCTAGATACGCCTCAGTGTTGTCATCTTCTGTTTGCAAATAAAAACTTCTAATATACGATCATTTTCCTAATAAATAAATTCTGAGCATTAAAATTTGAACTACTATTTATGTGTTCTTTAAATAAATTCTAACAATTTAAATCATATATAATTGATTCCATAATATTCGTAAATTTAAAATGAATATAGTTCAATATTCTTACCGTATCCGCAAAATGACTCGAAATATGTTTAACATCCAATCACAATAACTAATTATACCTTTGGTAAAAACTCTTTTTTTCTCTCTTTCGTATTCTTTAAAACTTCAATATCAAATGACATTCATTGTTTATAATTTTATTATGGATCACAAATTATGTTTTTTCTTTTAAATCAAAAAAGATAAATCGTTTGCGAAGGTCATAATTTGATCATTCCCCCTAACAAAAATATTAACACAGATACCGAGATGATTAGGATGGTTATAAGTCAATAAAGTGATGGACCAGTGAACTTCGCAATCATCAGGAGATATTAGTCGGAGCAAACCTAGTTTTGATGACAAGGAAATCTTGAATCCAGTACAGTTTGCCATGTCAATATTTGTGAACTAATAATTGGGGAACTGTTTAAATCATTGATTTCAGGTGTTCATGGTTCTTACACAAGTTGGACAATATATATACTCCATTTGTTTATATGGGTTGGAAAAGTTACATTGGTAGAAGTGTAATAACTCGATGACTTTAACAGATGATGAAGTTTCTGATCCCAAATTAACCTAATTTATTAATGAAAGTGGATTTTATAATTATTTTGGCTCTGTAACCTAGCCATAGCTACAGAATAGAACATTCATTTACCACCTGTCTCAAAGAAAGTGCTCACAAAAATCTGCAATTTTTTTTACTGAATTTGTTTCCTTGAACGTAACAAAAGAGGATTTGCCAATGCTGAAATTACTCCAACTAATATACATAACATTGGAAGTGGAGAGAGGAAACAAATTCACCACAACATAAGGGAAGAACAAAAAGGAAAAGTTTTACAAGGACATCAAAAGAACAAAAAAGAAAAAGAAAAACCCTCCCTCTCATTGACACTTTATCTACCCATCACGAATGTAAATATCGATTGTTATATAGTGATAAAGTTGTCGTCCCAAATCATTATTATACAACTACGATATTTATAATGACTACAGCTGTAACCGTAATTTAAATCTCTAACCCTATCAATATACGTTACATAAAAAAAAGCTTAGGCTAAGCAGAACAAAGAAGATTTATTTGCTAATAATTAAGAAGAAATAACATTCACAAGCTTCTAGCCATCATTTCCTGGAATCTCCTGTAAGACTCTTGCTTCTCCAACATAAACTTTTCATGACAATGGGCTATAAACAATTCTGCTAGCTTATCAATCTCATTAAGATCCGCCTCAGCCGTGGAATTCCCATTAGCCTTCTTTTCTTCTAGCCATTGAAGGTAACCCGAAAGCTCAGACTCCACAGTATCCTCCTCACATTGCTCAGCTGAAATCATTGAATCCCAGATCGAATCATAGTACGAATGAGTTGCGGTGCACCCTTCGAGTACCGGAGCCGGAACCGGTGTAACATGTGAAGAACGCCAATTATAGTGTAGCCTAAATGAACCAAAGACGAGCTTCTTGTGCTTGTACTTGTTTTTTGTGGTCTTTGAGTAGGAAATCAAGTATCTTATAGGCTTATTTTGCTTACAGATTCGAGTGAAAGTGGACTTTGCTTTTGAAAATGCTCGGATTAGACGGCAAGCCTGAGCATAGACAAGGGTGTGAATTTGGCTTTTGATTTTCGTGGAGCTTAAAGAAGAAGATGGCTTTGGTCTCAAAGAAAAGGGTGGAAGGAGGAGCATGGTCTTTAGGTAAGGACCAACCACCATTTTTAATTTGAACATTTTGTGTACGGGAATCCTGAACCATGTTCTCTAATGGAGTTATAAAGGGTCTTGATTACTAATTTGCCACTTGACTTTTATGTTATTTGAAGCTTTGCCACCCAATTTGTTGATTTATTAGGAATAGTGTTGCAGTGTTGCCTTTTGTCTCTTCCAAGGATTTTAGAGTTGGATAACACCCTGTTAGGGTACACTTGCACCAACCAAATGTGACTGATTAGGGATAATAAGTCACTCTTTCTCCAAAAACCCTTATATTTAACCTCCTTTATCTCAGTAAATGTCTAATTTCTTTCGATTTGCCCCATAACTAAATACGGGTTCGAATCCGGTAATCATAATTCTGCTGTGCAACGAGAAAATCTACGGTTAATTTATGACAGGTTTTTAATCTAAAATGTTATTTGTCTATTCTCAACAGTAATACAATTGATAATAATTTCAGTTACAATCGAGAATGTTACATTACAACAACAGATTTTCACCTAAAATGTTATCGTGTTTAATCTAAAAATTCAGACAATTTATAATAATTTCGGTTACAATAGAGAATGTTACATAAATTTTTTGACAACAATTTTTAAATTGTAATCAAAATAATTATGTAATTTATATAATTTATTATAAATAACTTAATATTTTCGATTTCAACCAACCTGAAATATTATCCAGTTTATTTAAAAAAGTTAGGCAATTGATAAATTTTTTTTGACCGGATGTATTTTGGAGTCCTTAAAATCTTAGGCCATGGCAGGGAATCTTTTGGACTTTGGAAGCAAGCAAATCTCAAGGATTCCCCCCCCCCCACATGACCGGCTTACATAGTTTGAACTCTGCAACATCTTTCACTATTTAAAAAGTGGAACCGGGGCCATTTATGGCAAAGTGACTTGGAGATGAGGTCTATGAATCAGCTATGGTAGGTTTTAACATCTAAAAATCATTAAAAATACAGTAAACAAGCCACTCGTGATCGGCTATTAAGGCTTAATATCCGCCAAAATTACCACTCCAAGGAATAAAATAATTTTCCTGCTGGGTTATCACCTATCTGACTGTGTTTTGGAGTTTAATACCTCTCGTCTTCAACAACTAAACAATTAATTTCTGTTTTTCTTTTGTTGCGATTCAAATGTCATTTCTTTAAAAAAATATCTCTCTGTGTTCACCAACTTGCAAATACTTATTTGGATACAGAAAGAGAAAAGGGGCACTGAAATTCCACATTTTAAAGTTAAACTAAGTACTGAAAGCGGTATTAAGAATAAAGAACGTGTCTTTTTCTACTGAGGTAGCCATGCATAATTTCCTCGCAACTTTGGCCTCGGACTGATATAAATCGCAGTTAATTAAGCTTGGAAAGTCTGCTTGTATTCCTGTAGATACGGGGGAGTAGTTGTAGACTTTTGGGAAAATACAGATATGCCATATGTGGTTGAAGACGACAGGGTTTTTGACCTATAAGTAATTAGTAAAACACATGGGACCAAGATCCCAACTTATCACTTTCCACCAAAATTTTGAAAAGGAAAACAAAACCAATTGTGATATGGAGTTTTGTAGACTTATTGTGGAAAAAAACAACTGATCGATCCATAATTATTATCTAAATGGAGGTTAAGGATCTAATCGAATTAAAAAAATTGGAAATCTGGAGTGAAAAGAACAGAAAGAAAATAAATTTTGAGTTCGTTTAGTAGGGAAAAAAAGTGAGAAAAAATGAGAAAGATATTAGGGAAAATGTGAAAGATGTGAGTTTGGTTCAAAATATATTTTTTGAAGAGTCGAATTTTATTTTCTCCTTTTTTTTACCTCTATCAAGTAATGGATTAATTGAGTGATTTCGGTGGTTAAAAAGAATGTTTTTTATTTAGATCTTAAGTTCAAACAGTTATGTATGTAGGGTGTGTTGTCAATAATTAAAAAATATTATAAATATATATTATCTTATAATCACATCATACTATTAAAAAAATTAATTAAATACTGAATAAAAGATTTAAATATACATATGGTACTTCAACTAGGAACCTACTCCCAAGTTGGTACATAAAGAACTTTTACTTCTAAGGTGATATATGAACTAAGCACTATTAAATTAGTAATGGATCAAACACTTAAAATAATAAAAAAAAAGTTAGACATTTACATTAGCCGAAAAAAATAGGCGCCTAAATGAAAAAAAGAGATATAATTTAGATTTTTTATATTAAGTCTTATATTTTAGCCTGAATATAAGAATCATAAGAAAGTGCAGTTGCTTATATATTTAATCAGATTATTGATTTATTACAGAAAACCAAGTCAGGAAAATATGTTAATTAACCCAAATTAGCAACATTATTTTATTTTACATTTTATTATAATTAACTTCTAACAGTTCAAGTTCAAGTGAAAGAAAGAAAAAAACAGTAATGTGTAGTGGTTCTATTAAAGTTCGTACATTGAAACAAATAAAGAAGTCTGTTCTTTTTCTTCTTCTTTTTTCTGACAGACAACAGATCATATGTACTGTAATTTCTTTGGAGGGTGTTGGGAATTAAATAAGGAAGTCTCCATATTTAAACAAGTCACCAGTTGGAATCCCTATAATGTCAGGATCCAATGTTCCATGTGTTTTTAATTAATGTTTGTTACAAGACCGACTTTGAAAAACAGTGGGATCTCCCTTCCCTTTACCATATTAATCTGGTGGGACTTCAATTATTTCTTTTGGGGAATCTAATCCATAAATAACTAACTGAGATGCCATTGCCATCCTTTGGAACCTTCCAACTAAGCTCTCACATTAAACATAATCTTGGTCAATAATCAAGATTTGCATCTCACAAACTACAAGCATGTTCGAGACAAAATCCCAAACATGCTTCTGAACAAAACAAGAAAACAGCTAAACCTCAGATGAAAATGGTCACATGATCCTTAAAGTTAATACACGGTAAGGTTTGAATTTGCTTCCCCCCCCCCCTTTAATCGGTTAGATAAAGGTAAATTAAGTGACATTGGAAGATTGGAATACATAATCTTTTATCTTTATTATATTCCTTGGGATAAGTTGTGACAATCATAGAAAGTGCCTTGTAATTCAATAGTTGAAGTTTCAACTTCCCCTACCCCCCATCTTGTCTAGTTCTTTTTTCAGTTTTTTTTCTTTGTACTCACTCTTTTAAGGTTTATTTTGACTAATCTGGATCGATTCACGTCGCACACATATCTTTGGTGGTTGAGTCTCCCATCGGAGATTTTTTTTGTATACACAATAATTCAAACTTGAAATCTTGCTTAAACGATATTAAGTTATCTATCACTTGAACAAATTATGTTGGTAAATAATGTCTTAAATTCATAAAAGAAAAGAAAAGCATGAATATTTGGGGGGAAAAGTATTTTATAGCTACATGTGCTACAACACGTAGTGTATTTTGGTTTATATACTTTAAAATTTAAAAAATAATTTATACATTATGCAGATCAACCAATTGTTAATTTTGAGAGGTTTAGTGATAGATTACATTTATCTGATTCATTAGGGTAAACTACACGGGTGACCATTTAACTATGGTTAAAAATCAATTTGACCACCGAAATTTTAATTTAATCAATCAGACCACCCAACTATTTAAATGGTTCAATCAAGCTACCCGCTGTTAGTTTTTAACAGAGATGGTGATGTGTCCGTTAATAAAAATGACATAATTATACATTTGGTCTTTAATATTTATAAATCCTATCAATTTGGATATAAATTATTTTAATTAAAATAAATTTAATATCCAATTAAATGGTGACACATATCATTACCTAGTTGGAGCATATTTTCTTAATTTTTTTATTTATGTAATATATTTATTTTTCTACCAACCACCTTATTAAAGTGAGAAAATAATGAGTGAAAGTGTGCCCGGATAGAATCAAACTTAGGTCACCCGGTTAACCAAGGTCACACCTAAACCACTGCACCAAGTCCCCTTTTAGTTCCAAATCACAACATGTTTTATATATTTATTTCATTTACTGACAGAAAAAAAGAAGAAATAAAAATGCAAATTGGGATAAAGGATTAAATTAAAGTTCAATCACATATTTGAATATAATTTACAATTTTTTATTGCTTTTAATTTTTATTAATGGAAGAAATAATTCTTAACTTTTATTAATAAAAAACTTTATTTTTTTTTATTAATTATAATTTAATATTGTATATAGCTATTAAATTATAATTAATAAATACAATCAATAATTATTTATTCAATTAAAAATTATAATTAATAAATAAAAGTCTATAATTATTTATTTGATTAAAATTTTAAAATATAAAAAACTGTAAATTAATAATTAATGATTTTCCTATTCAAAATAGAGATCGGTAATAGGTATTTGGTTCGAATAAAGGTTATGTCGGTACATCGAAGGCGACTGTCGGCGACGAGGGTGCACCGACAACAGCCTCCACGAGTCAGGGAGTCACAATCAACCTTATTGTAACACCAAGCGGCTGACCACCATACGACAACTGTGGTAGCACGTAACCTGAGCGATCAGGGGTGCTTTCCATGGCCGACAGTACTGTTCAGTCGCGACTTAGGTCGGCTGGACCTTCCCCGACAGTAACTCGACACTATCCTAATTTGATTTGGAACTAAAAGGGGATTTGGTGCAGTTGTTTAGACCTGACCTTGGCTAAACGGGTGACCTAAGTTTGATTCCATCTAGACACACTTTCACTTATTATTTTCTCACTTTAATAAGGTGGTAACACGTGTCACCACCTTACTGATAGAAAAATAAATATATTACATAAATAAAAAATTAAGAAAATATGCTCCAACTAGGTAATTACATGTGTCACCAATTAATTGGATATTAAATTTTATTTTAATTAAAATAAATTATATCTAAATTGACAGGATTTATAAATATTAAGGACCAAATGTATAATTATGCCATTTTTATTAACGGACATGTCACCATCTCTGTTAAAAACTAACGGT